AAACAAGCATGGCGAGAATGACTTTACACTGGAACACACAAAGGGCATACAAATATAGGCAGACCACACACACACACACACACACACACACCACATACACCACATACACACACACACCACATACACACACACACCACATACACACACACACACACACCACATACACACATACACCACATACACATACACACACACACGCACACCACATACACAAACACACATCACATACACACACACACCACATACACCGCATACACATTCACACACACACACACACACCACATACACACACACACACCACATACACACATACACACATACACCACATACACATACACACACACACACCACATACACATTCACACACACACACACACACACACACCACATACACCGCATACACATTCACACACACACACACACACACACACACCACATACACACACCACATACACCGCATACACATTCACACACACACACCACATACACACACACACACCACATACACATACACACACACACACCACATACACACACACACACCACATACACCGCATACACATTCACACACACACACACACCACATACACATACACACACACACACACGGAGAAAGGAGTTGGAGAGTGAGGCTAAGTACATAGTGAAGATATAAGTTAGTTGGGCACCTATGCTCCACTAGGAATTAAATTGCACAAGATAAAGGGGGAAAAATGACTTTTGTCGTTCCTGAATGTGTTTTTGTAAAGAATATTCTTTGTTTGCGTTCGCCGGCTGTAAACTTCGGCAGAAAGTCCTGGTCGTTTGTCCATTTCCTGCATTTTGTTTCATTCCAGCTCTTGAGTTTTGTGTGATATTCGTTTTACAGAAAAATGAAGTCTGTTGTTGCCTTTGAAGAAAAGGTATTCGGAAGGATAATAAAGGTTAAATGTATTAGTTACTGACTGGTTGTCCTCCCTCCCCCCCCCCCCTTATTTTCCCCCCTTGTGGAGCTGCAATGTGAAGATATGAAACTCCGGCCTCCCACAGAGCCACATTCTCAATTTAGTCGTTTTCTATGACATGCTTGAAAATGGCAAATGATTTTATTGTAGAACTGAAGTGTCATATAATTATCTCCGGACCAGAGATCCTTAGGGGCGTACAAATGGTTATAAAACTAATAATCCTCCACCCCCCCCCCCCCCCCACCCCCCCCACCCCCCCCCCACCTCCGAGGTTATCTTCATTGAACTATAGACCAGAGATCCTGGTGTAATAAAGGTTACATAACTGGCCAGACGGGGCTCTTTCAACAGATAACGGGAATTAACTTGGTCAAGTAGGAAACCTGATGTCTTCCCTGACCGTCTTTTCACACCTGTCAGTGACACGGGCTGGAACTAGATTTGGCCACTTAAGAATGTTTGATCAGAGCGGTGTAAGTCAGAATTGACCGACAGGTACAATGACAGGTAATTGGATCTGCAAAGTACCTCAGGGGTGTGGCTAAAAATCCCCTCTCGTAGGACTGGTTAGATACTAGAAAAGGGAAGTAGTTAGCTTTGCAGATAGATTACATATACTGCTAGGGAACTGCATTTACTCCATGGGCGGCAAGCATGCCACAAACTCAGATCAACAGTAGAAAGTCCTTCTAGCTGTGTATGTCTTGTTATTGAAATTTGCTGGAATGTTCCCAGGTATGATTTTATATTATTTTCAATCTTGTATTTATAGCTTAGGAGCTAGCTCCATCTACTCTACCTTTCCTGGTTTATCTAGCTACACATTTTGCTTGAAATAGTTCTTTGTGAGTATTTAGTTATCTCAGTTAGGAAGCTGGTTTTCTACTCCTATTTCTTGAATGTTTGTATCACATGTTTTTCAGTGTGTTTTCATGTTGGATAAAATAAGATTTGAACAATGACATTTGCTATAATGAAATGTAATTAAATTATATTGTTTCAATTATCAACCCAAAACATGTGCCTGGACTGTGGGAAAATCATGCCCACATGTGCAGCCATGTGGTTGCATTTTTGATAGCCTACCATGTGCTCACTGTCACTGGAAAGATAATATTCCGGACAACATGTACATATAAAAGGGTTTTGGGTTTTCAGCACATAACCTGCTCCAAGTGTTTATGTAAAAACAATGTCTGCCAGTTTCGAAGTCTGAGTGAGGACGGACAACAGACTTAGGAAGTCAACTATCATAACTGTGAGGGAAGGCAGGATATGTAAGACGTCGGTGTGAGACATAAGGCCTTCAGACTAGACTGGAGAGAATGTGGAATAGGAAAAAAATAGATGAGATATATTTTATTATTATCTGCCTGCTTAGTGTATGTATAGATATTACACATATGTGCCTGTTTAAATTATTACAGCTCCCGTCGTGGTGAAGACCAGTCAGTTTTGATGGCAACAGACAGTCCACGTGCACGAACCTATATTGTGTGAGAGATCGGCAAGCTGGGAACAAGTTGGAACAGACTGGAAAGGAGGTGGAACAAGCTGGGAAAGAGGTGGAACAAGCTGGGAAGAAGCTGGAAGAGGTGGAAAAGCTTGAAAGTGCCTCACGGCTGTCAAAGTTTTTATCCTGCCTTATCACTAAGTTACGTCTACATCTTGTTCGTAAACTTATCACCATTATAACACCACTCTAATCTCAGGTGCTCAGTTTCCTAGCTGAAGCATCTCATTACCACGATACCATCAGCCAATCAATGTTTGTCTAAACCTTGCAAACTGACAAATGTCATCTAAATAATTTTTAGTATAATAAAGCAGTATGTCAAGTTATACTGCATCGTTTGTTAAATTCCTAGTGTATGTGTTTTTACCTGTTTAACTAGACGGCCAGATAAAATTAAATTTCGTGGGATCTCTATAATAATTCTTTACCAGGAGGAGGTTGTCTGGAGGGGTCACCTGCCTTGACTAACAATACATTACTTAAAGTAATCTAGACATCTAAAACCCCTTTCCTTCTCCTGTGGGTACCAAGTGCAGCTGTTGTGTATTTACATGATGAGCAAAAAATGGCTGTTTTCTTGGATATCCAGGACTTTGTCTGAGATCAACATAGCTCTGATGTTAGTCTAGTATCTCTGGTGGAGGTGAAGTGTTGAGATTAAAACACCTACTCATCACAAAATCCTCTACCAGCTCGGGGATATATCTATATATATATTGTTTAGTATCTGTTCAATCAGTATACAGAACTCAAATGCTTCAGAAGAACTCCATCGATGTTTTTAATTGTATCGATAACTGTTATTTTGTTTTCTAGACAGTTTACAGTAGAAGACTGCCTCAATGTTTTCCTCTCACTATGGTAACAATAAAACGACGAAAATAAGTTAGCCTCTGCTGGTCGGTTAGAGACAGACAGACGCACTGAGAATGTACTTGTTGTATTAATGAAATCAGAGTAAATAATGTACAAGCGGTGAATACCTGTCTCCAGAGCCTCGATCTGTCTGTAAGTATCAGCCAGTCCCGTGTACTCGAGAACGTGATCATGTACAGGTTTGCCCAAGAGATAGCCAATGTCTGTATAGAGATGCACAAAACAACTTTTTTACGATATCAAGATCACTATTCTTGTGGTAAATAATTCATCAGAATGAACAGAACTTAGGACTTAGGAACGATGATATCAGGAGGAGAGTCGGCACAGAACCATTACTGAGCTTTACTGGTGGACAGCAGATCAAGTGGTATGGCCACGTAACAAGACAGGGCATCACAGAGAGCAATGTTACACAAATACAACGGTAATAGAGCAAGAGGTCGACCATGCTAAATATGGACCGTGAAAATATAAAAGACATGAAATATATACGAATCGAACTGAGGGGCCTGTTTCGAAGAATCCTTTAACATGATATCACAAACAAACCCAGGCATTCTGTCTGTCTGTCTGTCTGTCTGTCTGTCTGTCTGTCTGTCTGTCTGTCTGTCTGTCTGTTTGTCTGTCTGTCTGTCTGTCTGTCTGTCTGTCTGTCTGTCTGTCTGTCTGTCTGTCTGTCTGTCCATGTCTGTGTCTGTCTGCCCATGTCTGTGTCTGTCTGTCTGTGTCTGTCTGTCATGCCTAGACCAGCGCGTGGGAAAGGTCACCAAAGCTAAACAAAAGGTCAATACATCTCGTGGGAGAAAACGTTCGTTGTTCTGATTCATGATAATATTTCTCTGTATCAACTAGCGACGCTTAGTGCAACAAAGTTTAGTGGATAATACAACAACATCTAGTTTCAGAATGGAGGTGGAGGCAGTCAGAGCAGCTTTCGACCGGATTGAGACCCAGCTGTACACACACGTCGTGACTTTAACCAAAGCACAAAGCAGGTTTAAAAAGGTGGGGGCAGGCATGCTCCATGCAAAGTGGCAAGCATCGTTTCAGAGATCCTGGATAGCTATCGCTATTTTTATATTTTTTATGCATGACGAGGTAGAGGTGGTCAAGGTCCTTCGGTGGCAAGTAAACAATACAGAGATACGAATCGATCACAGTGATCTGGAGTGAATGGTGCAGCTGAAAGTGACAAGGAGATCTGGTCAACACTCTACGCCCAAAGGAAAAGCAAGCGGACATGAAACCAAACTGAAACTGAACCATCGGAATAGGAACGCTTCGCTGGCTGCTGACGATGAAGAGGGAATGTCCCGAAAGCTGTGATGTCAGCTTAACACACATCACTCAGTACTCACTCGTTTGCACTATCAGTCTCTTGTTTGATTCCCGTTTGGTCTAAAACCCAGGAAGTAACTGACCCACTTACACAACACAAGGCTTATTGGGTATATTGAACTAGAAGCATACTATTAGTCTGATCAGCACTCTTTAAATGATATGTTTAATATCATGCCAGCCACCATTACTTCCCATGGCATTTCCTGGTACCTAAATTGTGGACTGGGTTAACCTGGAGATTTCCTTCGAAAGCAGAGTGCATCTGCCCGAGAGGTACCTACACTCTGCACACAAAAAAGCCGCATCTGTAAAATGGATGTGCATTTAAAACTCCAGTTCTGGAACAAGACTCAAGTCAGGAATTAGGCAAATTACCAGAGCTTTCCGCTGAAGCTTACAGCCGATTAAAGCAACTTTTTCATCAACAAAACAAAATACATGAAAGAATAGAAAGGACAGTTTCATTAGAAATGCACGGAAAGCATTAGAGTCGAGGACCTACAGTAAGGCCTTTCAACTAGATATGCTTAGTCTAAATACACTTACTGTCTAAGTCTCGGAAAAGTACCGCCAAGGTGAAATTGAAATTCACCTGTACCAGCTGCTCAGCTTGCTGAAATATTTGAAAGAAAAAAGACAACATTAAAGGAATGGAATATAAAAGACGCTCTTGTTGAGTCTAGACATTATTCAAGACACACACACACACACACACACACACACACACACAGATTTATATTTATATACAAATACATATTCCTCTTCATATTTCGTAGGTGGTGAATTAATTTCTCGATTAGCTCCAACGTTCGACTTTTTTTGATTGGCTTTCTTATTCTGTAGAAAACATTAGCTGCAAAACCTTATGTTATAACCCACACCTACAATGTGGTTGGCACTAGTTGGCTGAAGGTTTCTGCTCAATCTGGGTTTTGAATGGAACAGAAGAAGAAGAAAAAGAAGAAGAAGAAGAAGAAGAAGAAGAAGAAGAAGAAGAAGAAGAAGAAGAAGAAGAAGAAGAAGAAGAAGAAGAAGAAGAAGAAGAAGAAGAAACAAGAATGAGGAGAAAGAGGAGGAGAAAATTAGGGGGTGGGGTACTAAAAGAAGGAAAGATGGATGTTGGGAGAAAGGATGGACGGGAGGAATGAAGAGACAAATTAAAGAAAAAAGGGAAAGATGGAAGAATAGAAGAAATGATGGAAGGAGGGAAAGAAGGACAGTGGACAACTAATCAGATATATATTTATGCTTTGATAGCTACCTACTTGTACAGTAGAATTTAAAAATCCGCTGACATCATCTAATTTATCGATATCGTTGTTGCAGAAATCCTTCAATGATGTCGACAAGTTGCTGTTTGTCACAAACATCAAGATGGACCCAACACTGTTGAGGAAGAAAAAATCGAGGAAATAGTGTTATCAAATTGATATCAATGCAGCACAAGCGATCCATTAATAAGCTGTCAAACGTTTGATAAAGTCAAAAGTTACCCTAATGATTAATAGTAGCAATAATAACAACTATAGTAGTAATAAGAATCAAAAATATTAACAAGAATGACTGTTATCATCATTGTCAATCATTGAATTTACCGATAGCGGTGGACGGTATTGGACTGCCATCTTGTTCATTTAAGGATTTCTGTTTATGTCTGATTTGTTTTTTCGCTTATGCCATTTGACCAAGTCATATGGATATTTATCGCTTGACCACTAGCGTACACCTTTCCTATGACGTTAGCAAAAAGAGAAATCAGCAATCGATGTGCAATGGCAAATCACTGACTAGGATAGTTAAAACACCACACGGAAAATTACGATATAGTGGCATAGCTAAATTTGGTGGCACCCCGTGCGGAAAATTTATTGTCATACCCGATATACATATTATTTTAAACAAATATGTTTTTTGTCAGTTTGTCACTCCCTGCGCTAGAGATGACACCCGGGGCGATCAACCCCTCCTTCCCCTTTTCCTACGCTGATGAACCTATGTCTTTCCAAGAAAAAATCTGATTACAACTAATTGTTGTCTAATAGAGATGATATTAATTAGGAGAGCTGCGGGAGTAAGAAACACATTTTAAACGATGACTAAAAACTACAGTTCTGCATCTTAAAAGTTAATAAAAATATTTCATAATTTATTTCTAGGTAGATCAATAGGACAAACTTGAAATACAAAGACTAACTATAGCATTTTGTAAGAGCCTTTCCGTCTTTCCAAACTATAACATGCCTTAGACAGGTTTTAGACTTACAACCTATGGTGATGGATAATTAGATCCAAGGATGAAGTTCCTTGTTTCCACAGACAAGGCAGTATTGCAGAAACTATGTATTGCCCGTGCTAGACGATCTCTTGCTGGGCTACCTTGTTGACGCTAATGGACGGCAAATTCATTGCGTTCGGAATAAAGAGTGATACAAACACGGCAGAATGAAAACAACAGTGAACTGTTCGCCTTTTGGAGCTTCCACACAAAAAGAGTAATGAAGGTATCTTGAAAGAAATGACCCACGAAGAGAACAGATTGCCATCATTAAAAGGAAATTATCTACATTCTTCAGCCATGTCATGAGAAGAAGAAAACTGGAGTACATTCTGAAGGTGGGGAAGTTGGAGGAGGAAACGAGACAGAAAGAGATCAAGTGAGAAGATGTTGGACAGCTTGACATCGTGGCATGGAAGATCATCTGTGTCAGAAATGTTTGAAAAAAAAAAAACAAGACAGAAAGTTGTGGACAGACATTACCAGCAGATCACAGCATTGACCACATAATAAGAAGAATATCTCGGTTTTTATTGGCTCGAAATCAGGAGCCTGTCAGAGCACCAACCCAGCCCTTGGCGTTAACGTCCCAAAGTAACAGACACACAAAAAGCCAAGCACAAGCAGCCAACAGAAAAACAAAACAAAAAACAAATCCCAGTTGAAGAGGAATATACCAGACCCCACTTGTACGTACAAGACCACACTAGATATGAATGTTTGCTTACTTGTTGTACCCCACCAGGACATCACACACGCGATAAACAACCGGTTATGAGGATCGCCCGTGAAGAGGTCCCAGAAACCCCTTTCAGCCGTTATGGCCACAATTGTGGCCCAGCAATATTCAGGGCGCTACGTGGATTTTTATCGTGCTATGGGGCGTCGCATGTCGACCCAGCCTAAAATGGGTACCAGGATGGCTGTCCTGGGGAAGTGGAGACGGCGGGTGTAATGCTGACCACATTACCCACCCAGTGTCTGAAAAAATATGGGCGCTCTTCTTTACGCCTAAAGGCGTGAGAAGGGATCGTTACTTACTTTTAATTATATTCAGGGCCCCTGGCAGAAGCCAGGGTGGGGCTTCAAATTAGGGCTGTACCGAATGGTGATTTTCACTATTCGACCGAATACGAATAGCTGGACCAACTATTCGACCGAATACGAATACGAATAGTGAATCATCATCATCAGGTGCTGTGTCGACTGGCGTGGGCGATTATGTCTCGCCACAAACTGCGATCTCCTGCAGCATGTATTAGTTCGTGTGCTGACACACCTCCATGCCATGAAACAAGACTGTCAAGATCTTCTCACGTTGTCTTCCTCTATCCCTCCTTCCACATATCTTTCCAGTGGTCACCACATGTTCCATTTCCCCTCATCTTATAACATGGCCGAAAAATGATGATTGTCTCCTTCTGATGTCTGTGAGTAGTTGTCTTCGGGCTCCCGCCTCTTTCAAAACCTCTTGGTTGCTTTTTTTTACTGTAAAACAGCATTGTTCTGTAAAAACCACATCTCTGAGGCCTCAAAAAAATTTTTTTGCCTGCCTACCAATTGTCCAGGACTCTCAGCCATATGTTAAAACTGGATGTATGTAGCAAGCAAGAATTCTTTTTCTAACCTTCAATGACAAAGATATTTTGCATAAGATGTTCTTCATTTAAAAAAATGGAGTTTTTGCCTGTCCTATTCTATTTCCTATTTCAGTAATGCATCTTCCATGTGCCCATATATTTAAATTCCTGTACTTGTCCCAAAATAAAACCATTGACTTTTATTAGGCATTTAGGAATAATTATTTTCTTTGCTACCACCATTACTTCTTTCTTCCCACTATTCAAACTGAGGCCCATTCTTCCACTTTCGAATAGTGTATAAAATAGATCTAAACAAAAAACAAAAAACATCCATAATGTCAAATGTACGCTGAAATGTTGCTTCACAAAATGTAGTACAGAATAGTAAACATATAAAAACATTTCATGTTTTTGCATCCTTCGGTCAGTCAGTCTGTGGTAACTAGGAATGAAAGTATTCTTAGTTTTATAACAAGTAACTTAACTTGTAAATTGTAACTGACAGCTTAGTTAATCCATGAAAGCGGCATTAGCTTTAAAAAAAAACCTTTGTTCTATGTTATCATCATTAAGGCAGCTTCTTGTCTCACTGAAGTTATTTCCAGCTGTACTAAACAGACGTTCACTTGGTACGCTCGTAGGTGGTGCACAAAGATAACGCTTGACAGTATGAACCAAGGTGGGAAATCCTGATATGTTTATTTTCCACCAATCCAGAAACCGGTGTAATGTAACCACTATTCGTATTCGGCCCGACCGCAACTATTCGGCCGAATACCGAATAGTTATTAGGTCCACTATTCGGCCCCGAAGCGAATACGAAGCGAATCGGTTCAGCCCTACTTCAAATAACGAAAAATTGCATCCCACAAGGGGACGACTTGGATTAAGTTATGAACTACCAAGAAATAGAAAATGAGGTGTAATGGCAAGCAACAAATAATTGAAATACAAGTAAAACAGCTAAGAAAACCCTTCTCAACATATCAGGGCGTCTAGTCAGTTTAAAGAGGAGCAAGTTTAGTACGATCCAAATCAAATCTTAGCTTTTATTGTCTATTGTGTATGACAAGAAGATACCTACAGAGCCATTGTTGTGAATGCTGAAAGAAAACTTAGAGCAGTCAGGCGACCGCATGTGTCCCCGTGGCCGGCTTCTGTAGCAACTTTGATGACTCGTCTACCGCCACATCTTCCACAGCAGCGGCAGCAGCAAAAGCACATGCCCACGATGGGGAAAAGCACGAAGAAGACAATGCCGACAACCAGAGCAATGGTGTACCCCAAATAATCCACCGCTGCCTGTGTTTTGTAGAAAAGAAAATGAAAACACTACAATCAAGTGTAAAGCAAAGGTTCCTTTTTCCACGCCTTTCGGTGTATTGGGGATATAGGGCTGGACCTATATTTTTATATACCAATCGGCACTTGGCGGGTGATGTGGTCAGCACTACGCTGG